ACTTGTGTCAGGTGACTGGTATCTGCGGTTCCCTCTAGCCGCAGTACAACACCTTGTTGCAGCGGCGTCCGACCACGGACCCATTTTGTTGACCTGGCGGAGGGCGGACAATGTGCAGAAGAAGTGCCACCGTTTCAGATATGAGGTGACGTGGGAAGCACATGAGGCTTTCACTTCCTCCTTGGCCGAATCATGGCAGCAAGATTGTGTAGCAGTGACAGTAAAGGAGCTACAGCTCAAGCTGAAGGGGGTGGCGAACCACTTGGGCAGCTGGGAGCGACAAACTTTTGGTCACGTGAGACGGGAATTAAAGTCCTTGAAGAAGGAATCAGAGAGGATGCAGGTGGACCCCAGTCGATTGGGGCTTTCCCAGGCTGAGTTGAAGACCATTGAAAGGATAAATGAATTGCATTATAGGGAGAAAATTATGTGGCGTCAGCGTTCGAGAATTCAATGGCTAGCAGAAGGGGATCGGAACACAAAGTTTTTTCATCTCCGAGCGAGCCAGAGGAGGAGGAAGAATATGATAAAAAAACCTCATAAAGTCGAATGGTGAATTTACATCCGATGAGAAGGAGATGGGCTAGATGACTCCTGAATTTTTCAGAAATTTGTATACTTCAGAAGATACACGTAACATGGAAGCTATTCTAGATTCGGTGCCTGTTAAAGTTTTGACGGAGATGAATGAAGGTTTGATGGTGCCGTTTACAGAAAAGGAGGTAAATGAAGCACTCTTCCAGATGTTTCCAACTAAGGCTCTAGGCTAGGATAGGTTTCCTGCTCATTTTTTACAGCGACATTGGGACTTTTGTGGCAAGGAAATCACATCTGTGGTCTTGAGGGTGCTTAGTGGTGAAGATGATCCAGCTACAATTAATGGCACGTTCATTGTGCTAATTCTGAAGGTTGCTAGTCCGGAGGAGCTGGGTCAATTTAGACCAATAAGTCTCTGCAATGTCATCTTCAAGATTGTATCAAAGGTGGTGACCAATAGACTCAAAGTGGTGCTGCCGGAGATTATATCTGAAGAACAGTTAGCGTTTGTGCCGGGCAGGCTGATCACTGATAATATTATTACTGCTTATGAGTGTCTACACTTCATGAAGCAAAAAAAAAAGCTCGGGACCTCAGGTGTTGTGCTTTGAAGTTAGATATGAAGAAAGCTTATGACTAGGTTGAGTGAAATTGTCTCCAAGCAATTATGCTCAATGATGAGTACATGCCCGATCTTCCGAGAGGTAGCTGGTAAGTTCGATTTGTGGAGATCTCGACGTTGGAGATTCGGCTTCAAATCAGACGCGATTCGAACCCTGCAACCGTTACACCACTGCTCCGTTGGTTATCAACCAAGCACAACTTGATTGACCTCGCCAAGAAGGCTTTTCCTGCAAGCGAATCGAAGAGCACAAGCAAGAAGGTAAAACACGCAATCTGATATTGCAAATATGAATGACGCGAATATCAATAGAGGGTTCTAGAACTCGGTTCCAATGGACTAATCGACACAGTGGAGGATATCAAGAACGGGGGCCCTGGATCACTGTAAAAGGATTTGTCACCACAGTTACAATGAACGATTCAGTTTCTCGATGGAAAACTAAACTCTAAACAAAACCCAATTGTGTAGCAGCGGCGACGGCTGTGTTTATAGTCTAAGACTCGACCTAGGGTTGGGGACGGCCAGGGGTTGGGCGCCCACAACTTGGGCTTAAGGCCCGACACGATACATGGCCAAGTTGGCCCAAATAGGTGACGCAGCACCTTGCCGTGGTCACACAGAATGATCCATGGACCTTCTAGAGCTGGGACCAGATCCAAAACGACGGCGTCGTCGTCCCCTTTCCAACGCATCCAAGAACGGCCCGTTTCGATGTCGTATGAGAAAATTATGACCGAAACAGTGACGACGTGTCTGCTGAATCCGAGGACGACGTGGCAGCTGAGTTGGGAACGAATTGCAACTTGGGGAAGACCATGGCGTCGGTGTGTCCAGCATGGCGATGTCCTCATCACTCAAGCTCGGATTTCGTCAACTATTGGTACAACTGATTATGCGGTTAGTCTCTTCGGTTTCTTTTTCTGTACTCTTAAATGGAGATTGTTTGAGTAGTTTCAAGCTGACAAGAGGAATTCACCAAGGAGACCCATCTCTCTCTATTTATTTTTTATAGCAGCAGAGGGCCTTTCGTGCCTCTTAAAATCACGATCAACAGCACTGATGGTTAGCCACATTCTCTTTGCAGATGACAACCTGCTGTTTTTCAAAGCTAATAGGGAGTGCGGCAGTGGTGAAGGATATCTTGCAGATTTATTGTGATGCTTCAGGCCAACAGATCAATGTGCAAAAATCATCAATTCACTTTGCCAAGAAGTGTCAACAAAATATTCAAGAGGAAATTAAGTTGGTGCTCAATGTTCAGAATGAATGTCTAAGTGAAAAGTATTTAGGAATGCCATCTGATGTGGGCTCCGCAACTAATGGCGCTTTTAAATTCTTAAAGGACATGATTTGAAATAAGATACAGGGATGGATAGAGCAATGCTTGTCATTTGGCGGCAAGGAAGTGCTCATTAAATCTGTTGCCCAAGCAATACCCACCTATTCAATGTCATACTTTAAACTGCCTCGAGGCCTATGCAAACATATTAACGGCCTGTTGAGGAATTTATGGTGGGAAAGTAAGGAAGGAAAGAGGAAGACATGCTAGGTTGCATGGGACGATATGATCATGCCAAAGTTCCTTGGTGGAATGGGTTCCCGTGATATAGAGCTGTTCAACCTTGCTTTGTTAGTGTAATAGGCCTGACGTATCCTCTAGGAACCGGTATCTTTAAGTGCCAGAATTTTAAAGGTGGTATATTTTCTACAGGGTGACTTCTTGGGGCAAATCTTGGCTCTGCTCCCTCAAAGATATGGCAATCAGTGCTAGACGTCAGGGAAGTGCTGCAGCTCGGTCTGATCAGGAGAATCGGCACGGGTTCAACCACTTCTATTTGGAGTATGGACTGGCATGCGAAGGCCGGTACCTAGCAGAGCTCCACATCCGCCACAACTTGTGAGTGAGCTGATTGATCATACATCCGTAGCTTGGGATCGGGCAAAACTTCAGGATTTTTTAATGCAAGCTGATATAGATGTGATACTCAATATCCCTCTATGCAATCGGACCCAATGGACTTCTAGGCTTGGCACCATGACAAGAAGGGAGTTTTCACAGTTCGTTCTGCATATAGAATGCTTATAATGAGGCGTGCTTTATCAGAAAATGCAGCAAGATCAAGTAGAAAAGATGAGCAAAAGGAGTGGACATCTTTGTGGAAGGTTATGGTGCCTTCAAAGGTGTGGGTGTTTCTATGGAGGCTTGCAAGACACTCTACCATCGGCTGATGTTTTCCACCAACAGAATATGGTAGATCATGACCGTTGTGCTTTTGTGTGGGGCTCTTGATTCCTGGAAACACTCCTTGCTCGAGTGTAATATGGCGAGGTGTGTATGGCATTGGAGAGCGAGGAAATCGTTCAACACCTCAATGAGATACAGAAGGAGACCTCTAGAGTTTGGTTGGTGAATTTAATAGAAACAATGCCACATACTGATCTCATACGGGTGTTGGTGACTATGTGAGCAACCTGGTACGCAAGAAGGAAGGCGATCTATGAAAATATTTTCTAGAGCCCGCTTTCAACACATAGTTTCGTCAACAAATATATTGCTGAACTTCAGAGTCAAAGGCCATGGTGGTTGCCGCCACCAGCAGGTTGCATGAAGGTAAATGTGGATGCGGCTATTTCTAAGAATCTAAGAAGGGCATCGGTGGCGGCAATAGCCCGGGATCAGGCCGGTATTTTTTTTTGAGCTTGGAGAGTGGCTCTTGATGGAATTACTGAACCAGAAATTGCCGAGGTGATGGCGTGCAGGGAAGGACTTGCTTTGGCGGCTGATCTAATGTTAACTTCTTGGCATCGGATTGTGCCAATGCTAACAGAAGCTTGGAATAAAGAAATATGGGTCCGTATGGTGTGAAGGAGATGCAGACCAGGGCTCGTGATTTTCTTTTGGTTGATTTTATTCACGAGGATAAGAAATCAAATCTTGATGCTCAAACTCTAACCAGGAGTTTGATTTCTTTTGATACAGGCATCAATGATAGAGAGTGTGGTGATTAAAAAGAAAAAAACCAACAAGAAGTCGCAAAGTCAATTACGCACGCCGTGTCAATTGTCAAACGAGTCCTCTCTGCTGTTTCCTCCCGTTTTCTCCCTTCCCCTGCGGGCTGCGGGCTGGAGAGCGGCGGCGAGGGCCGAGGGGAGACGAGGTCACCGGTGACGCTCTCCTAACCTACTCCTCCTGCCTGTCCCAAGCTCCCGCGCCTACGTCGAGCCCTCTACGCGCTCTCCCAGCGCCTCAGGCCGCCTCCCACAGAGCGCGGCAGGCACGCCGCCCAGCTCGGAGGAATTCGGGCCCTTGTGTTCCCCTCCGCACCCCTCTACTGGCCTGGAGGGAAGCGAGTGATCCACCAGGAATTGATTGGATCGGCTTCTCCTTTTTCTTGGTACGCCGCCCTAACCTAACTTGCTTTTGATGTTTTATTTTGCCTGCACATCTTCTCCGATGCGCGCAATGGACCAAATCCAACTTTTTGGGGGTGGGCATGTTACTGTTTCTCAGCGCAATGGGGGAAAAAAGTTAGCGTTTACCTGAACAGTGACCGCATGTTGCTGTTTCTCAGCCATTTCTATGCAATCGTGAATCAATCCCTGGTTTGCTTGAGATTTCTGAAATCAGATGGCAATTTACAACTTTACATATTCATTCAGTCTTGTCAACATGAACCAGGATATACTTGATATTTCTGATGAAATCAGCTGGCAGTTTACATATTCAATCTTGCCAACATGAACCAGGACATACTTGGGCTGCTGTTCGCAAACACGGCCTTGGCGAGGCAATCCATCATTCCGAAGTGTGCTCGGACAGGTTTACTTTGGCTCTGAGATGGCTGATGAGGACTCATCCGACTTCACCTTCTGCAAGGTACGTATGCTTCTGCTTGTGTCACTTACAGCATGGTGTTCGTTACGCCACGCTGCTTTGCTTGTTGTTCTAGTGCTTCGTGGTCGCTCCTTATCGGTGCTTTTCTGATCATAGAATCATCATGCTTGATTAAGAATTCATGTTTTATCGGGTGATCAGAGAAATTGTCAACATAAGAGAAGCACTTGGTTACCAACCATTTAACATATGGATTGTGACTGCCAGTTTTACAGGCCTTATGCTTTACCGTGCATCAAGCAGTGAATAATTTGTTCTGTACTTATATGTTTCCACATAAAAAAATGTCACCAAAAGTTTTAAATCTTGTGGATTGTCTCAAGAACCCACAATAAGCATGGGATATTATTTCACTGATATATGTTCATTTCTGAAACCAGTATAAGTGCATAGGACATAAGTTGTGTTCAAACACTATGCGAACAAGTCAAGGGTTGGAATTAAGGAAGTGAGAAAACACCTGATTGCTTAGGGAGATGGGTTCTGATTGCTTTTTGCTTGCTTAAAATCTGTCTTGGATGCTGTCTCTCACTACAGGCATTTAAACAGTTGCTTTCATTTATTTTTCTATTTATCTTCATCTCCAAAAGCTCCTTAAAAACCACTTGGAACCAATGACTATGCCAAGTGAATAAAATGGATAAGAGCTCTATTTTTTCCTTTCTCCAATAGTTTCCAATAGTTAGCTTCCTAAAAATCGAAAACCAGGCAGTGTGGGGGAAAAAAATGCACGAAGCGCAGGGGAGGGGGCACCCGGGCAGATAGCAATCACGAAACACTCGTATCTGGGAGTTGAGGGGGCGATTTACCTAGTGCTTATCTTTAGGGAGTTGTTTTACAAAACTGTTGGAGGGCCCTTTTTTCCCCCTTTTTTTGCCAAAACAGAATTAGGGAGTTGATTTAAGGAGTTTTTGGAGATGCTCTTGCTGCTCATGCCGTTGGATTGGGTCACTTAGTTGTGGATAGTACAAAGCTAGTGCATCTTTGTGGGTAGTCACTTCATTACCTTTTTATTTAGGTTCTTATTTGGATATAGGTTGTAGTATTATATGTATCACTTCCACTCGATACACTCAGTTGCATGATAGCTTATCAATTGTTACTGTAGCGGTCTAAGCCTTTTCTAATGATTTATCTGCTATTTCTCCCTAAGACCCTTGAGTTGTTAAGATCCCAAATGGTATGACTTACAAACTTACATGTGCCATTTTGATTTTTCTTGCTTTCAGGTTTACTTTCTGATATGACTTCTAAGAACTTATTTTGATATATCTGTTTTGTAGGTTAGTTCTGCAGAAAATGACGGTCAACCAGAATCTCCTAAAGCCATTCCTGTAGAAAGTATGACACTCGAGGATGTTCGTGTTGATAGTGCAAATACTTCAAAGAACAATGGCGTGGAAACTGTTGACTCAGAAAAAGATAGGTCTGGTAACAATGTCAGTGTTTCAACAAAAGACAATAACATGAAAGCACCAGTTACACAGACAAGTGGTGGAGCAGAATCAAATGTGCCATTACAGGCAAAGCGTTCATCGAAGAAACCCGCAGCACGGGCAAAGGTTCCTTTTGAGAAAGGCTATAGTCAAATGGATTGGCTAAAGCTGACACAAACACATCCTGATCTAGCTGGTAAGTTGTTACTTGTTACAGACTTTACTGGTAAGCTGTTTGCTGATCTTTGGTAGTTTGATCTATCTGCATAATTAATGCCTCTCAGAGGACCTGTTGTGGGGTCTGGGAATGACAGTGGGTCATAATTATATTAATTGATGTTTTATAATTAACTAAAATGCTTAAACTCATGCCATTTCTTAGAATTTAAGTTACTGTGCTCTATTATTCTGCCGGGCACTTTTGTCTGAAGAAAGGTCCTTAGAGGTTCCATCAGTGTAGAATAAATAACATAGCCAGCTTGAGATTCAATGTTTACCTTTATGAATAGTTCAATCAACTAAGTTGAGAACCTTTCGCTTCATAAAATCTGTATTAGCTATTTTTCTCTGCCTTTTCTAATTTATCATTTTTTTTGCTGTGGGTTACATGTTGCATTAGCTAAACTGTTCTGAAATTTTAATTGGATATTTGGATGGCTGATTGGCTGTACTTATACGAGCTCCATATATAAGCTTTCACCATACATTTCAGCTTTGTAGCATGCCAAGTGACACTGGGGCCATAAAGGGACTGAGGCTGAGGCTGTTGTTTCGCTTGAGAGCATAGTTATATTTTGTTTCCTAATGTTAATTCCTTCAATTAAAAAGCGAATGGCATGCATTTCACTTTCATATTTTGTAATTTTTCTAATGGGCATAATAAGGCTTAGGCATATTAACTGTAAGATAATCTGCTGCTTGCTCCATTTGTTTTGCTGGGACAGAAGGTTGACAATAGGTCAATTCCTTGCTGTCCACTGCTGAGCCTGCAAGCAATTGCTGTGTATTACAAGTGCATAGCAACATCTAGGCTGAATAGCAGCAAAAGAATTGACTGCAAGTCAAGGTCTTCTCTTAGGTAATTTCTAGGAAAGGCACTAGGGCTGTTTTCTGTACTATCTTTTCAGCTCAATGTTTTCAAGTCGTCCAGTCGAACCTAGTCGCCATGGGACCGACTAGGACGATTAATCACGATTAATCGGACGACTTGTACAAGTCGACGGTACCCCTAATCAGTCAGCAGGGACCGATTAGGATGATTAATCATGATTAATCGCGATTAATCGGACGACTTGAAAACATTGTTTCAGCTATAAATAAGATGCAAAGGCACCAGCAAGCTGCAGCTTACAGCAGCCACAAACAGCCTCCTCCATCTCTGTAGACGTGTAGTGCAGCAGCAGCCTAACAGCTGCATAGTTAATTCTGCACTTCCAGAAGACTTGTGCGTGTGCTCTGTGCTCACTCTCTTCTACCTCCAGCCAAAGGTGTTGTGTGGGTACTGGTGAGCTAGCTGCTCACCTGTGGGGAAGATAAAGGGCCAACAAGTGATGTCAGAGCTGAGGAGCAAAATTGGAATGGTGGATCGCTCAAGGAGTAGCAGCAGGATTAGAGGAAGGATTGTAAGATAATCTGCTGCTTGCTCCGTTTGTTTTACTGGGACAGAAGGTTGACAATAGGTCAATTCCTTGCTCTCCACTGCTGGCCTTGCATAGAAGCCTGCAAGCAATTGCAGTGTAATTTCCTTGCAAGTGCATAGCAACATCTAGGCTGAATAGCAGCAGAAGACTTGGCTGCAATGGCCCGTCTTCCCGCAGCGCCGACAGGTATCCCTGTTGAGAGGCTTGCCGTCCTTCTTCTTCTTCTGCGGGGCCTTGCCGCGGCGCTTGCCATCACCGCCGCGGTTGGAGGAGCCTTCCCCGGACCGCTTCTCCTGCATCCGGGCAGCCCACCCCTCGGTCAGCAGCAGCTTGCTGCCGTCCGTTGTCTTCGCCGTCTCCACACGCTCGTACACCGCCCTCAACCGCCCAGTCACATCCTTGATTGTGAGGGTGGACATGTCGATCAGCGTCTCAATGTAGAGCGCGATCTGCGTGTACTTGTGGGGAAGATCAACGGCCAACATTAACTTACAGTGATTTTCTGAGACAAGTTGGTTGTTTAATATTTTCCTTGTGCAAACAACAACATGATTATATCAGGATAAAATTATAGAGTAAAATACACCAGAGGTACAACAACTTAAGTAGGTTATAGATCTTGCAAATGTTCAATGGGGTCACCATTGTTTTTTTTTTCATGAGTGCATTTGCTACTTGGATTGCCACTTGTCACGTTCTGTGTGATGCCATGTCGGCGAAGGAAACCTTGTTGGACCATTTTTTAACAAAGTCGTTTTCACTGTTTTGTAATAATTTCTTAGGATGGACTATGTGATGGTTCCACACTGTTGTGAGGTTTAAGTGCCCTAGCTGTGTTATTTGTCAAAATGAGCTGTTCATTGCATCTCATTATGAATTTAATCAATGAATCTGTCCCATCAGTTCAGTTGAGCGAAGTCGGGGTTGATCATAACTAGTTAGCACCGAGCAGGGATTGGCAGCTGTTTATGTCCCCGACAGATGCTGCTGCTCAGTATACTATAAGTGCAATAAATCTCTGTATTTCAGTCATGTTAATGTTACAGTATGTGCTGATTTAAGTGATCTTTTTCCGGTGAGAATTAGGGCAGTAATGGTGGTGAATTTCCATGTATTAGCGCACATGCATTCATCACTCTATATTCTCTTGCCCTAGTTAACAGTACACCAATACCAACAGCTGGTGGCAAAGAACTAATAAGTATGCTAATAAGGAATTGCTCGTAGAGCAGGCGGTGAAGCTCCAAAGTGTGAGCTGACTGGCCAGAACTCGAGACCTGGCTCCCATAATGGCCTCCAAAGAAGGCCATGACAGGGACCCTTTTTAAAAATAAGTACGTTAATAGCAGGTGCTACTACTGTTAGATTGTTTAAAGCTATTACTAGATCAGGTACAATCCCCTTTGTAAATATCTTCCATTCCCCTTCTACAAGCTCGAGTCATCAGATGATCTAAAAAAGATAAAAAAGAAGGTTGAACTGTCAGCGCTGCCGTCAACATGTCAATGATGCCTAGCTGGGAGCTGTTGTGGCACTGTGTGATATGACCGTGCTTATCCAAGTTATTAAATGCACCCATAAAACAGCTTTTGTGACATGGTTGAGCATTGCAATGTTTATGACCCACCCCTACAATGCAAGCTGTTATCATTGATCTATTTTCCTCCAATTATAAATAGGATGATGTTTGTGTCAGAAATAGCGCCTTGGGTTCGCAATGCTTACCCCCACATTTCAAATTCTTTTAAAGGTTAGATTGACACATTTTGGGATCTTGTAAACCTTGTTATGTCAATCTGGGAGTAACCAGAACTATATGCTTACACAATTGGCGCTACAGTTATAATCATGTTTGCCATTTTTGTTTACCTACTTGCAAGTTTTTTTGCCCTCAATTGATTATCTGATGGAAGGGCGGGCCTGGTGCAAGCGGTAGAGTCTTACTGCCTAGAGTCTTACCAATTGATTATCTGATAATTGATGAAATGATGTTTGCTTTCCTTCCTCTTATAGGGCTTAAGGGGCAGTCAAACCGAAGGTTAATTTCTTTGGAAGAGGTTAAGCAGCACAAAGCAGGAGATTGTATTTGGACAGTTCTCAAAGGCCGCGTGTACAACATTGCTCCATACATGAAATTTCATCCTGGAGGTAGTCATAGTTCCAGTTCATCTAGAGTTATTCTGTTTGAGTTTCAGAACCACTGTTCTCACCTCACAAGTCACAACCTTTTCTGTATTATGATATATTTTCCTAACCTGTATCATGTTCTGGGTCGATTTACAGGTGTTGATATGCTTATGAAAGCCGCTGGGAAAGACTGCACTGCTTTGTTCAGTATCCTTCTATTATTATTATTATTATTATTTCTGCACTGTGACTCATTGTCTTGCTGCTTGTGGACTCATCACCATTCTTATTATGCAAGTTGGTGTGGTACCTAAAGGCATGGCATACAAACAGCAATCACTATGATGCCTTTGCAGCTTATGATTACATTTGTTAACTGTCCCATTTTGTGGTTGTTGATTGTGCATCTGCTTATAATTCTTGATTGCTCCTTGACTTGACTATAGATAAATACCATGCTTGGGTAAATGCAGAGTTCCTCTTGGAGAAGTGCCTTGTTGGATTCCTTGATCCCAACGAGTAGATATGGGGGCTCAGGCCGCATGGCATTTGATCATTTGATGCACACCTGGACTGTTTGTAGGCACCTCAGGTGATGAATTAAAGAATCTAAATGTTCTATTGTATCACAGCGGGAATAGAATGATTAAATTCTGTTTCAAAAAGAAAAGCGGAATTGTTATGGAGATGAGAAAATCCAGTCCAATACTGGTATGTCATTACAGTGCGAGGTGAATTGCAACACCTGATGGCAGGGGCGGATTTGGGCCCTGGGCTGCCCGGGCTGCAGCCTGGGCCGAGGCCCAAGAGCAGTGGGAAGTTTCTTCATAAAAATGGCATAAAAAGGTTGCCTGGCCCATTAGCCCACCCCGAGGAGAAGTCAGCCCAGCAACTGGCCGTCGCCCTAGCCCGGCTCCCGTTCGCACAATCGCACTCGGCCGGTTCCCGTCTGCCTCCACCCTGGCTGCCTCCCTTCCCGTCCGCTTTTAGCCTCGCCCTCCTGTCTCGACTCCCAACCGCCCCAAGCCCCCCAGGTCCTTGGCTCCCATGACCGTCTTGCCTGCCCCACCCTGACCCCTGCAGCTAGGTCGCCCCTGACCGCCTCGCCGGTCAGCCCCTCACCGGCTCACCCCCCCCCACCTGCCACGCCATGCCTGCCCCCACGCCCCACGCCCCCCCCTATTGAAATTGCTCTACCATTGCAACACGTCAGATGACAGATGCCATTTCTTTTTGAAATTGCTCCATGATTGCTACCTTTACATTGCAAAGTAATGAATATTTCATTTCATTGAGCAGGACTGTCATTGAGTATTTGAGTCTTAGATTGCAATTGCAACATTTCATACCTTAGAATGGAGAAATACTATACTAAAAAGAGTAGTGCCGAAACTATAGAGAACCGGGTTGAGCAAAAAAGACCACGGATTGAACTTGATATGAGAGATAGTTACTGATCCAGGAGATAGGAAGCCAATTGATGATTTTCATCATGACATTAGGGATGAGGCAAGGAGAGCATATCTACAAATAGGTACATATAGACTAGCTGGTCATAATTTTCCAAAAACGAAAAAAGATGGTAAAGGCCAATCAAAAGGATTTGTTGGATCATGGTTTGATCAATTTGATTGGTTAGAGTTCAGTGTAGCCAAGGATGCAGCTTATTGCTTTTATTGCCATCTCTTTAAGCCACAACAAGCTGGGTTTCATAGTAATGATACATTCACCAAAGTTGGGTTTAGAAATTGGAAGAATGCAAAGGATTCTTTCAAGGAGCATGCTCAATCAATTGATGGCTTTCATAGTAATGCAAGAAAGCGTGCACTTGATTTAAAAAATCAGAGGTAAAGTGTTGAACATGTGTGGACTGTTACAAGTACAACAGAAGAGGAGGCATATAAAACTCGTTTAACTATCATGTTAGGCATTGCTAGATTTCTCCTTTTGCAAGCTCTAGCCTTTCATGGACATGATGAGTCTAAAAACATCAAGAAATAAAGGGAACTTTATGGAGATGCTTGAATGGTACAGAAAGAATGATCCTAAGGCTGCACTTGTGACCAGTGAAAATGCTCCAGGGAATAATCAAATGAGTAGTCCAATGGTTCAGAAAGAACGCATGTCTGTATAGAAAACGAGTTGTTGTTTATATATGACTGTTATAATCCTTTCCGAGCGCTGTAATATGCATATATATGGATTTGTAATTTTTTCCCACAACTGGGAACTTTCATTTAACATCACGAATAACTATCATGTTCAACATGCAAAAGGATAACCAAGTTCAATTTTGTCGAGAACTGCTGATGATTTGTTTTGAAGTTTTGTGATTCTTTTTGATTGATGTAGTTTCTTGAAACTTTTCTTAACTTGTTTAAAATCTAAATATAAATTTAAAATTGTTTGGCACAAAAGTAGAGGCAAAATAGAAGCTCCCTTTATGCTAACCAATATAGCTAGAAAGATTCCTAGATAACATAACCCAACAACTGCAGTTAACTCGAGGCAAAACGGCCATTAACGAAACAGCCTTGATATAAATTTGTTTGAGAGGTGGAAGTCTTTGTTTTTAACTTGCTAAATAAAATTCATTTGTTTTGACGTCCGTATTTTATATTTTGATGAAACAACGTATGTGTGTCTTGTATCGCATAGTATGTGCGGATGGTTTCTAAGGAGCGTTGGTAGGCACCTACACCCTGTATTTACTAGAAATGTTTATGGCATCCAATACGTGCGAGCTATGTACTTGCTTCGGTGAACACCATATACTCCTATACGCTTAAACAACTCCCAAGATATTGGAACAATATCCTACGCGCGTGTATTTTCTTGGGATTTGCAGCCTATTCGTTAGGTTGATAAGCCATGACTGAAAGTACTGTTGGTTGATTTATTATAGAAAAAAATATTGTTCGTTGGCTGAAAAAGCAAGCCAAGCGAACAGGGCGTAGATCGATTTTTTCCATGTGCGGATTAGCGCATCGATCGATCTGTCACGCACGTTTGCGCACTCCTTTTATCTAAACACATGAGTTCTCCGAAGTGGAACCGGATGTGCTAGCTGAAACTGAAAGCAGGACAGGCCTCAACGCTGCCCGCCGTTCTTTCATGCCTTTCCCTCCGTTGCCGCGTCCGTTCGCTGGTTTGGTCCACTCTCCACTCAACTCGAGCAGCCTAATCCACCCAAAATGTCATTCCCCCCCACCGCCGTATCAACGTATCTTAATTGTTGGGTCGCCTTTCTGTTTTTGTGGTCAACACAGAGCCGATGGATGGTACGTAAGACAGATGCTCTTGTGTCCTTTAGAATTCAGAAAGAGAAAGCTCGGGGATTGTGCTGCAGAAAGGCAAAATGCTGGAAAGAGAGGCCAATGCTTGGTGGCATCTTCAAACCTTGGACATGGACGGTCGCTGAGTTCTTCGGCACCTGCTTTTCCATTCCACGGCAGCCAAGGAGAAAAGCCCATGCGCTTTCTCCCAACTAATTGCCTTTTTCAGCAATCAGCATTGGATAAATTAATAGTATAATAAAATAAAACTGCTACTATTAGCTGCTTCTTCTTCTTCTTGCCAGGTGCCCTTGCTTGTTGAGTTTAGTTAGCCAATCTTATGAAAGTATAATTTATACTTACTGAAATTATTTTACCAATACTTTCTGTTGTTCACTAGTGTAAACACGATATTTGACCAAAAAATTGAATTCTAATCCAACATTACGTTTTGTAATTTTCTGTACAGCTCTTTTTTTTCTTCTTTTTTCTATCGTCTAATAAATCTTCTTTGCCCTCCTTTCCCAAAAAAAAAAATCCAACATTACTAGATCAATAGAGTGTTTCGTTTGTGGAATAAGGTAGTCCATTCTGATCCCACTAAAAATATCTAGTCGTCTTCGCAAATTTTACCTGTAAAATGAACGCGCGCTTCCAAAAAAGAAGAAGTAAATTGTACTATATGTGTTCAAACAAACGGATAATGGTTGAATGGTCATGCATGGACTTCTTGGCGCATGGTCGGCAGTCAAATTTCACTACATCATAGTAGTACTACTCCCGGCATAATTAACTTATATTTGGCTTGATGGGTGGACTGACTAGTACCATCGGATGGAAAGGCGTTTGAATGAATGAATTAATTTATTCCCCCCCAAAAAAATTTGTGATGTTCAGCGAGGCCCCTATGTGGCGGAAAAAAGAAGTGCCGCAACCGCAACTCATTCACCACACCAGTGAAGTGGACATATAGCTACGAGTAAGATATTAACTGGGTTTCGGCGCATGGTCGTGGGTCAAATTTCACCGCAAGCACGCTCACGCACACGGCCCGGCCTGAGGTTAAGTCAAGGTCCACCACCCACAGCCGTGCTGTCGTCAATAAAATAGGAGTACAGTACCAAAAAAAAATAGCACGGCTTGCACTCTGTTGACTTAATTGTTTCTGCAGCTTATAAGTCGGCTGATGCTGTTTTATTATAAAAAAAAATACTATATCATAACTGATAAGCATGCCTGATACGATCGAACCAACCTGTGTTTGGCGATCCGGACAGGCGACAGCAGCCCTCTCGCAGCGGTCAGTTTTGCTTCAGTACACGCTTGCGTCACTTGTGCTGGCTGCTGCTGCGTTGCCGTCTCCGATCCATCCGACGACGCGGGCAGGGTCAGGGGTCAACAACGTCGGTCGTCGGGGGAATGTGTCACTTTCCGTACCAACAACAACAACGCCCGTCGTCGGGGGCGACGATGCAAAGCCAGGCAGCCACTGCAGTCGTCCGTCTCGCTCAGGATGACAGACGACGTGACGAAAATTTCGCTTCTTGCGCTGGCATGCCCGCCCGCTCCGCTCCTGCGTACCGGGACTTTTAACCCTTGTTTAGTTGGAGTCCTTGTCACATCGAATGTTTGTGGCTCATGCATGGAGCATTAAATGTAGACGAAAAAAAAAATTGCACAGTTTAGTGAGAAATTGCGAGACGAACGTTTTAAGTCTACTTAGTCCATGTTTGAACAATAATTGTCAAATAAAAACAAAGGTGCTCCAGTAACCCTAAATTCCAAATTCATGGAACTAAATAAGGACTTATATAAGAATTTATAAAAACTATGAAAAACATACAAATACAGCAGAAACATGCCATCCGGGCCTGCAGGTCCAAGCTGTCGCTCACAAGCAAAGCAGGCGACAAAACCATCGGGGCCCATCAACCGTTGACTCACTAGCCGAGTCTTCTTGATTTGATGGTAAATAAACTAGTAGCCAGTATCCACGCCCGTTGAGGTGGGAAACCAAGAAAATTAAGCAAAGCAATTGGTACAGAGAATATTGTTGTAAAACATACCCACTCTGTCTACAAGGAAAGGAGATAGATGAATCATAATCCTAGTCCGTTTGTATATGGGCTCTTATCAAACTTTTAGACCTTGGTAGGGCTATATATATATATGTGGGAGCTCTACGTTGTAATCACTAATACTTAGAGAAATAAAAAATAATCTTCCTATGTCTATTTGTTCTCTATTT